AAAAAAAAAAAAAAAAAAAAAAAAAAAAAATTATATGTTCTTTTGTGCATGTATATGATACTTAAAGTTATAATTAGATAATGAGAATGTTGCATTTTATAAATTGTATTATTAGTAAAATGAACGATATATAAGATTATTTAAATGAATGTATTTTTTAGATTAAACACGTTCTTATACAACAATAAATTTTATTTTATATGAATGACTTTTTTTTTTTTTTTGGTTATGTCCGCAAATATAATAAATTGTAATCATTCTATTTAAAAAATATATAGAATGAAATTTAAAATTATTAAATTAGCGGTTACAACCGTAACAATTAATTTCAAGTGTGCTTACATATTAATTACAAAACTAAACAACTATATATATAACAAAAAAAAAGAGCGGGAAAGAAAAATTTTGCATTAATGCGGTAGCTCTTAATTATGTTTCGGGATCCTATGTGGCAAAATTACATGCTTCGTTATTAGGTTTGGTAGATTTAATTTACTTCCAATCTAAAAATAATTAGGTTCGGATTATCTTTAAATATGTTGATTATTTATGGTCATGTTACATGTATTAATTGCATTTTAATATCATTTCTTATTATATCCATTGAATTTTAAATGCATTTTAAAAGTTAATAACTTTTGTATTTTTTATCAATTTACATATATAGTACATCAAATTAATATTCTCTTGATAAGCTTCAATTTAACATATATATTGTATGTAAAAAAAAACAATAATAAATTTGTTTTTGAATATGAATTAGAAAAATAAAGTTATTTATTAATTAATATATTTATTTCAAGTAGTTATATGCACTACAACAAAATGATGAAGTTCCAACGAAAAGTTTCAATACAAATAATATTATTTTAATAGAATTCCAACGGAAATTCCAACAAAAATATCCCGTTGGAATGAGTTTTCCATTGAAATTTCTGTTGGATTTTGACGATTCAAACGGTAGATTTTCTAACGAAAGTGAAAATAAAAATCCCAACGAAAATTACTACGGTAAAAAACCGTTGGAAAAACAGACGTTGGAATCATCAAATTCCATCTAAAATTCTAATGGAAAAGTCATTCCGACACAATATTTTCGTTGAAATTTCCGCTAGAATCATTCCAACAGAAGCTATACCATGAATATCCGTTGGAATATATTATCGTGGGATTTTTTGTTAGAATATAACCTTTGTAATGATGATATAAGTTATAAAAATTACTATAATATAACACATGTAAGTCTAACAACTAAGAAGTGTCATTATAATATATTTTTTTTATAAAAACTTAAATAAAGTTTAAAATAATTTCTTTCATTAATTTTAA